TATATATATGGTCCATGCATATATTGCAGTACACTGAAAAAAAAAAGTATTATTTAATACATTGTATTATATTATTTTCTAGCATATTCCCATATGTTTTTGTTTCATAAAGGTATGTTTTTGATTTCTCTACTCATGCACAGTTCGTCTCCATAAACGGACTGTCCGGAAATAAATTTATGTCCAGTATAAGCCAACAAAACCTATAAGAGCAGTGAGATTCATATAAAGGCATGATTAAGACGGTTATGTCCAATTTACTTCAGTGGCTCATCCTCGTTTAATGGAGGAAAATGGGCAATATTCACAGCTCTTCTGTGACCTCTGAATCATAACATTACTGTAACTGCGGCTTAGAGTACTCACTAGGCAGTGAACGAGCAGCTCTAGTATGAAATCTGAGTGTTTCAAGAGCGCTGGACCGAAGTGAGCTGTTAAAGTTAAAGTTAACAAATTAAGAGACTTCATATAAGAATCTCACACATATATTTTGTGCACCCTGTTTTTCAGATGAAACTGCCTTTATGTCCCTTAAATTGCACTTTTTGCTTAGATTAGTTCAAATGAATTAATATAAAATATTATTCAATTATTACATTTATTTCTACAATCTAAATACGAAGTAAAAGTGGCATTTAAACACCTTTCACTAGGAAATTGCTAGTAAATATCACAAATAATTACAAATAAATGGCAAGTAATTCATTGAATTAAACATGAAATTTTGAAGTACAAAAACTGAAACAGTATTTTCTTGTAAAACGTACTTCAAAAATATTTATTTAAAACCTTGAAAAATAATTTACAGTGATATATATATACTGTATATATAATTATCCTCATTCCCCTGTGTTTATAAGCCCCAGTCTGTTCAGTTTGGTTTGGTCGGGTCTACTTGTATGAACGTCGATCCCCGTGTCCTACGTGTGGTTTTCTATGTTGTAAATAAAGTGTTTGATAATTTTGGAATCTCCTTCGTCTCCTCGCTCCTTCACAGTAGGCAGCGTGACAGAAGACCCGATCAAGACAGAAAAATCATGGAAATTGCCGCTCGTTTCTCTGCCTTAGTCCGCCGAGATCTCCCCTTCTTCGAGTACGCCTGGGAATTCTGGGGGCTTGCCGTGGCGACGGCATTGGATGATGCCACCATTAATTCTCTGTTCTGGCTCGGGGCCAACTACCATCGCCCCGTGGACCTCCCAGACACCAAAGGGCTATGCAGGAGGGAAGGGATCTACCGGTGTCTGGGGAGTGTCCGGACCCGAGCCAGAACCAGCCCGTCGGCCGCGGCTCTTTCCAAAAGTCAAGTTCGCGCGCTCAAGCCCACCGGAATCTCTGCTGACAAGCCCGCCGGCCGCGGCTCTCTCCAGCCCGCCGACGGTTCCTCACTCAAGCCCGCCGACCACACCTTTCACCCCGAACCTAGAAGGGAATCTAAGGAGGAGAAGGCGGTCGGCTCCAGCCCCAGAGCAATTAATTCATTTTAAAAAATTAAAATAAAAAAATAAGCTCCATTTTCAATTATCATTTAGAAAAAAAAAAGAGTTTTAAAGTTGTTCAGAAAAATTGTCCTCCCTAATGAAATGTGTCATAAGATGCTGTTGGAGCGTCACCTTTGAGATGCCGTTGGTGTTTGCACTGAGCGCGAGGTCTGCGATCCGCTCCACACACTGGACGATCCGTGAACAAGCTCGAGCCTCGTTCTGAGCCATCCAGAGAACATGTTCCTCCACCGCCATCATGTTACTGGCCACGTCCAACACGTGATCGGCTA